ATACACAGTGAGGAGAGTATTGTAACTGTGACTACAACATGCTGTACTTATCTTATTAGAAAACCTTTACATACTCAAGGCTGAGTGAGGCTGGTCCACTTTTTACACTTTTCTATCTGTCCCACAATGCATTTGAAAACTAATGATAGATCGGTTTTGAAAGCAGATTTGTTTAGATCTCTTGTAGTCTTTAATAAAGTTGTGCAGTTTCGAAGATTTCGTGAATCATGTCATGTCATTTTCTTCTTTCTAACCCTAACCCAAGTCTAAAAGCACCAGACCCTTGCTGATCCTCCTGTAGGTGGAGGGTCCGCAGGATGGTGGCTTCTCCATTATCAAAGAGATGGTCTTGGTCTTTTAGTGGGGGCTTCAGGCAAAGCAGGGTTAAGTGTCTTGCCAATGGACACAACGACAGCAGACCTCAGTGGGAGCATGATTTATAATGTTTAGGCCATGCAACACTGCAAGCCTGAGTGTCAAATAACCATGATTACAAGACTGCATTTGGCCATGGTTTTAATATTCTTTAATATTGGCAACATAAATCTACAAGAACCTTTTGAAATGTCATTTATATGTAGCATTAACACTTTCCCATATTCCCAAAGTCATACAAATAATCTCTTTTAGACTTTCCGCTGTCATCTTCAACAAAATAAACAAAACAGGCCCAAACTTCCACGGCTATTAATCTTTTCTGCGTTTCATATCTGAACAAAGAACACTGGAACGTGCAGCCAGTTGCTAATTATAGCCTCATTTCCCTTTTTTCCTCTGTTCAAATCCGTAGCAAGTTCGACCTCCTGCGCGGTAGCTTCGTGCAGACGCCGGCTTTGATCACTGCTTCCTGTGTTATCTGCTAACCTGCAGCTCGCCGCGCACAGTGACGGACACTTTCTCTCCAAACCATTACATAACAACGCTGGCTCGTTACTCAGATTATAATGGTTTGTAAAGTCCACACCAGACACACGGGCGATTCTGTCATAATGAATGCTTTGTGTGTCTGTTGAAGCGTGGCTCTGCTAGCTCCAATGCTAATTTACATATTCATGCATTGCTGAACCATGTATAGTCGGTATATTTAGTTGTTTTGATCATGGAATTGGTGTAACATGCAAAATCCATGTGTTATCGTAGTTTTCCTTTGATATTTACTGTATGTTCTCCCCTAAGGCTGAGGCAACATTTCTCTCCCGAGCTTCTAAGCGTTCAAAAACGTTTGCTTTCATTGCTGTTGAAATTACAGCTAATCTGCAAATAGGTCGCAAGGCAAGTCTTGGGAAGTTGTTTTGACATTTCAGCCTGTGTCTCTCAGTGTGGAAGTAGCAGGCGACCTTACACTGGTTATGTCTGTTTTACTGTATATAATGCTTTATATATCTGTGATACAGGGAAGGTTTGGCAGATCGAATGTAACTAAAAAAAACTTTGATCCCTAACTCCCTGATCTGTCTGAGCAGGGCTTTCGATTCTTCCAGAGGCCAGGATTTTTTAAAAGATTTAGACCTATTAAACAGACGAACTATAGAGCAGACCGACGACTTTTTCCTTGTGATGTTTCGACAATGGCCTGTGTCTCTGTGGAAGGAGCAGGCGACCTGGGGATTGGGTCAAAATTGTGTTTTTGATGAAAATGAGGCCAAACGCTGGATGTTTTTAAGTTTGCACAGAGAAATGGAGATTGCAATGTACCTCCAGTTGAGTATGTGATAAATAAACGTTGAGCTAAAATGTCTTGTAATGGGAAAATTCCAGTTTTTAATGTATTGTATCTTGAGTTTAGACTGTACTGTGTTAAAGTTGAGGTTAAATTGTAGTGAAATGGCTGTCGGTTGCTGGGGAGAGACCAGTTGCAGTTTCCATGGTAACGGGTGTAGTGGTATGTATTTTTCCCATTATCGCATTCAGAGCCGGGACCAGGAGAAGAACAGAGAAAAGGTCCCGAAGATTAGCAGACTTTCTCAATGCCGTTACTGATTTGGGCTGAAATAACGCTGCTTTATGTACGTTTTCTCTGTCTGGAACACATTTGTTATTTCATGAATATAAGCAGGAAATGGTTTGAAAATTGAAAGTTCTATTGTAGTTTCTGACGACAGTATCGACTCTTTGTAGTGCTAAGATAAAAAGGTTTACTTCTATCACAAAGTGTTCATGCATTTCTGTCTCTGTCAGATTTATTATTATTAGATCTGCTTTTTCAGACAGAAAATTGGAAAAGAGAAGACAACCCTCAATTAGCTTAGCCCAAAGTGTCAAATAGTGACTCACAGGGCTCTTGCTACACAAGACTTTCAATAACAAATTAAATACTGCGTTTAGATCTTTACTGTTAGAAGTCCGAAGTTAAATTCTCTTTACTTTCATTTCAAATGTTTACTAAAAAAAGGATCAGACTGGGGAACATCTTAAAACTGCTCTAAATCAAGTTTATCTTATCTCAAACATATATTATTTCAAACCCTTGTACACACACAAAATGGAAAAAAGAAAAAGATATGCAGGTTTATTTTCTCAGCGCAGTTCATCCAAAGGGAAGGGGGCTTAAAAATGTAGAAACACTCATAAGGCGTTTGCAATCCTCGATCACAGCCTTAAAGACCGAGCTGAATATGGATGATATATCCTAACTTGACCTGGGCCTTTCAGATCCTAAAGACCCAAAGCATTTTTCTCCTTTTAATCATCTGTGACGGGTTATTTTGACCCAAGGGCAGAACGAGGGTTAACCTACACTGTCCCCACCAAATACAAATGTGTAGGTCTCTCACATTTCAATCCACACAAAACCTCTGCAGAGATCATGCTAACGCTAGCCCAACACAAGCTAATACCTGACACATGTCGCTCAACCAACTAAAGCTCTGTCGATATACACGTAGAAATGTATACATAAAGTATTTTTAAAGCTTAGAATCTCTTCAGTCGATCAGTTAAAGTCTCAAAGATGCTGCCTTCAAGTGAATACATGTCACCGATATGTCATAAAATCTTTTGTTTTCCTCAGATTCCTTCATCATGTGGAGTTTGTTACAGTAGATATTAGACGTGGCAGAGTGATTCACCAAATTGACTTCCCCACATTTGATTATATTGTTTTTTTCTCTCAGTTCAAAGTCGTTAGCGGCGACGTTGTGCTCGTCTCCTAACGATGTTTCTACTCCTCCTTCTACACTTTTCATAATTGTTTTTTTTTTCTCCAGTCGTTTGTCTTCTGGAGGCGGCTGCAAATGCTTTCATTTTTGAAACAACCGTCCACTGTGATTTCCTGTTTTTCTTATGGGTTTTTTACATTTGTGGAGTGAATCGTATTTGAATTAAGTCTGATTTTGACTTTGCACAGATTTTTGTTTGTTTTTCATAGTCGTTTTATGTCATTTATAACGTTCTGCACTCAAAACAATATTAATCTCTCTCCTGTTTATACTTTGCTAAAAACATGGGTTAACACAGATGGTTAAAGGAAAGCCCTGTCTAAGAGCTTTTAAGGATTCATTCTTATTTATTTCTGAATGTGTGAAATAACAAAGAGTTCATCTGTGTTGTACAGACAGAATCATTTTTGCTTAAAATCTAAAAGAAATGTCAACATTGGTAAAACTTGTGAATTAAGTATGACGTGTCCACAATGATTCCAATGTCCTGAAGCTGAAGTTGGCTGTGAATGTAAAGAATATAATCTGTATTTTTGTGCCATGATCACAGATCTCAGATCAACACATATTGATATCTGAGCTTCACGATGTTGTAAAGCACGTCTCTATTCGCAGAAAGTAAGTGCGATCGATGTCACAGAATGTTTAATATTATTTGAGTTGATAAATCAGGGGCCACAGAAAATGATAGAGCTGCAATTGGCCCCGAGGCCTTAGTTTGGACATGGCTCACAGAGCATTGTACATTTGTGCATTAGACTCCTCATTTGTGATTTTATATTATCTCCAGTTGTATTTTTGTAGTATTCTGTTTTATTGTGCTGTTGCAAAATGAATCATTTTGTGTGTGTCCATGACGTCATAGTCAAGAGGCTTCTCGGTGCTAAGAACAACTGAAAATATCTTTTGAGCTTTTAAACATTTGTACATTTTTACTACATTGTTCAGCCAATAAAACATAAGTTTCATTATGCGTCTTATTTTTCTCTAACCTCAAACGCGGCAGAGACGGTGTGCTCTGGTGCGAGTGGGAGGAGGAGGCTCTTAATAGCGGCTCACGGTGACACACTAATCACTGGTTCAGTCTCTTCTTTCTCCAGAAAATAATTAGCTTTAGTTCAGCGCCCCCGTCCACCAAAGATCACATCTGGAGCCGTGAGAGCTCACTCTGAACTCTCAACACTTCTCTGCAAATAAAAGGAAAAAGTGATGTGTGTTTTGAGGACTTTCATGTGACATCACAGCTTTGCTCTGTCCGAAGCTCGGTGTAGTTGAAGTTCTTTGAGTCACCTTTCTCCTGCGTTCAAGACAATTTGAAAAAAATCTGTTTCATGCCCATGTCTGCACTTTGTGATGATGATAATTTAACGTACTCGAGCCAAAATAACCTGCCACGAGGATTAAACATTTTATAAGATGGACAAAGTACTATTTTGAGTTGCCTTGTACTATACAAATAAACTTGCCTTTCAGGTTCAGTCAAATCCTATGTTTGTATATTGTAGATATTGAATGGTTAACCCTTGTTCAATCCTTGACCTGCCACAATGACTTAAAAATGTACTTAAATAATACTTTTTATTTAGACTTGACCAGCCCTGGGTCAGAATCTACTTTGGATCACGAGGGTTAAAGTGAACATTTTTGGCCTCATAGGAAATGATGTCTGGGGCAGTGGCCTGTTGGACTACTTTACCATGGTTTTAGTCCTGGGTGAACCGGGGCGCCTGGAGGAAATCCAGCTAGACACGAGGCTCGAACACCACCTCCAAGAGAGTCCTTGTGCCATTAACTTGTTGTGCTATACAAATAAACTTGCCTTGCCTTGATACTCTGGCGCCGATGTCTGACCTCTTTCTGTCGTGGTCTTCAGATGACGTGGCCTACGAGGTGCGCTGGTTTTTCACACGGCTGCGCGGCGGAGAGGGCGCTGTTCCCGTGGCTGCCATCGACTGTTCTGGAATCGTGAGGCGGGAAACGCGGAACTCCACCAGCGAGATGTCGATCGAGAGGACGGACACCCACTCCTACGAGTTGAGCATCCACGGCACCCAGGACAGGTAAGACATTGGTTTCAGAGCTTCATTGTTGTTGGATTACTGGTGAAACAAAAATGTGCCTTTGTGTTGAATGTTTTGGTTGAAAAGCAGCTCATTGTGTTTAATCTTCAACTGTTAAAATTCTCGTCTCAAGTTCAACAATTATCAATATTGAACTGGTTTCAGGACTAACATGTAAAAGTGGTCTGTCACATGTCCAGTCTTTGATCCACTGTGTTGTGTCTGACCTTGTTCTTGCGGTCTGCAGCGACAGTGGAGAGTATCACTGTGTGGCCACTCCCTGCTACGTCTCTCCCTCCACTAAAGCCTGGACCAAAGCCGAGGAGCTCACGTCCTCCAGGATCTTCCTCACGGTCAAGTTCGCCGGTCTGTACAAGCATAAACAAGACACTTACACTTTTATCACACGGACTGAAGTTTATTCATGTGTGCTCTGTTTCAGTCTGGGATTCACTCAAGATGCCTCTTCTCTACGGAGCAGTCGCAGCTTTAGGTAAAGTCAAGTCGTTTTGATTCAGAAACACATTTATGGCATTAAATATAGAGTAGGGTTATGCCAAATATTGACTAGTGACTCACAAAGCTCTTTCTTACACAAAGGTTTTCTAAGAAGTTTCTCCAGTTTTAAATGTTTGCTTATTTTTCAGTCAAAATATAAGTTTACAAAGAGAGGCCTGCTTCATCTCCACTAGCCCTACTTGGCCCTGATTGGGGGCATTGCGACTGGCCCTGTTTAACCAGTACAAGGTCCTTTTTAGTGCCACTTGGTCCTGGTTCTATCTAGATCAAGCTGGCACTAAAGTGTTCTAACCCTTGTGCAATCCTGAAAAAATACCCCAAAAATAAAACAACTTTTTAGTTTAATCTTGATGGTCTTTCCTCTCTGTACCAGCCCTGGATCATCTTTTAAACACGGTGGTGGCTCATTTTGACCCCAGGGTAGCACAACGGCCAACTGACGGCACCAGAGGGCTGCTGGAAACCATGGTTACCAAGGAATTTTTTTGGCTACTTGTATGCTGTGGGTAGTTTGCAAGAATATGGTACTAAATACTAAAGTGTAACAACCAGGTAGAGTGGAGATGGTGCAAATGGGGCTTTTCATTTAAATCCTTTAGGCTCAAGTTTTGACAACCTGGAGACATTCTGAAGCTTTGTCAATGTGTTCCACGAGTAAACTATGTTAAATTGGATCTTTCTTTTTTTTTTTTCTGGGTCCCATAAAGTACCCGTCAACACAAACACAGACCTTTTGTCCTTTTTAAAGCTGCTGTCTGTAACTGCGTCTCTCTCCTTCAGGGGTGGGGCTCTTCTCCCTCATCTTTGGCCTGATCTGTGCTCACTGCTGCTGCCGCAACACGTCGCACACCCCTCTCTCCCGCAACAAGCTGCTACACCTGGAGATGGACTGACAAACAGCCTCCCCCGCAAACCTGCCCCCCTGCAGAGCGCACCACAAGAACCACACCAGTGACGCCCTTTCCGACGACTTCTGGGAGGCCAAGTACTTCCCCAACCGGAACGGGAACTGGGAGTAGGAGCGTGGTGCTGTTTCTCTGCAGGTTTTTGCGGGGATAGGAGTTCTAATCTCTGAGCTCCTGGCGATAATTCTGGGGATTTCTTTCCTTAACTCTCAAAAGACATTCAACATACAACTGGACAGCCTCCTGTTTGGTTTTCCATCTTCCGAAACTTTGCGAAATGGTTTGGAATTTTACTACTCATTGGAGGAATCTACAACTTTGAATTGTCACTAAGATGGCAGTAACTACATGGATCAAAATCGCGTGGGAATTTTCAAAGCAACAGCCTCTTCTCGCAGACTTACAACCTTGTAAAGAGCACAACTACTTCAAAAAACCATTCCCAACAACCTCTGGGAAACCTAATTCTTCCCAAAGCAAAATTAGGAATAAGAACATGGAATAGCTGGGATTTCAAGCCTGTCTACTTCCATAATGTTGGAAAGTTGAGATTTCACTGCCATTTTAGGGATTTTTTTTCAGAGCAACTGTAACTATGGCGATAAGGGAAGTACATTGTGTGTACATTATCGAGTCGCTGTTTTGACTTGGAATTGCTTGGGGAGTTTAAACTGGACTGCCGCTTGAAATGGCAGCAGCACAGGTTGACAAAGCCACAAAGACTGTAATCCTATAGTTTTTTGCAAATTGAAGAAAGATTTTAAAGACACTTTTTAAGCTTTACTCAGAGATAATATGCAGTTAGCGTGTTGGTGTGAATCCATCTATCGGAGAAAGACTTTCTTCCACATTTTCTAACTGTTGAAATAATGTTTTTGTGCGTTTTTGTACTTTTTGGTGTGACTGTTGTGAGAAGCATGTGTTTATAATGACTTCCAGGGTTCAAATGCCTTTAAACCTGCAGTCATGGGTTTTAAACTGGTTCCATTCTTCCTTTTGTCAAAGCCTTTTCTAAATCTGCCTTATTTGACAACATTTTAAAAGCTTCATGTTTTAGACCAAAATGTTATTTCTAGAAGCTGCCAACAACATTTTGCAGACATTACATGCTTCTGTGTAATATTTAGAACAATGATCTAAAATGAGAACACTTCCTCCCCTTCCCCGCAAAAAAACATCTGCTCATTGCCAACTTGATAGGCCTGTCTCTGACCCAAGTTTGAAATGTTATTAAACTATATGTAGACTTACCTCTCCACCCACCGGGAGAATCTCGAGGCATCCCAAAACGATGCCCAGGCCGCCTCGACTGGCTACTCTCGATGTTGAGGAGCAGCGCCTCTAGCCCAAGCTCCTGAGCGCCAAGTCACTCTGCGTAGGCAACTCATGTGGACCACTGGCATCCACGATCTTGTCCATAAGGTCATTACCCATAGACTGATATATAAATTGAGAGCTTTGATGGCAGACGCTGCTCCCTCTTCACCATAAGTCTGATATGTCTGTCAATCTCACAAAAAATGCATTATAGTGAACCATGTATAGACGACAGACCCTTTTTTATTGATAGCTGTTCCTCCCATATTAAAGACATTTACAATATTCTGTCATAATATCGGCTGCTCCTATAGAGCCATAAAACGCATCATTAGCCTCTGTCCATATGTTTTAATGCACTCTAGTCTGTTATAATGGGAAATTATATTGCAATGAAAGCCTTGTACTATTGCAAAGGGGCTAGGTACACACGTTTTTAAAATTCGGTAAAAAATGTATTGTTATTGCATCATAAAAAGCTAATGTCTAATATCCATTCAAAGCTCAATAATGTAACCTGGCTTGCCACAACATAGATCTGACTCATAACTTACTGAGATTTCACCAGTCCTTTAGTTTCCACTTCCCATTCTGACTCAAAGCACACGTTTCAGAGCAGTTTTCTGACCAGGGCCATAGAAACGATAAGCAAACTGAGCAATAATGAGAGCGATAAAGAGAAATGTGCCAAACCTCAGCAATAGACCAGTGACGACGGCTGACCCAGTGTTTCTGCAAAGGTTCAAATGTTTTATAAATAAATAGATTTATATTAAAATCAGTGTGTCTCATTTTCATGTTCTGGGGTCGCTGTATTTGCCAGTAGCCAGGAGCACTCAGATGTCCCGGTCCTGTGTGTGTGTTGACTTTGCATGTTCTCCCTGTGTTTGGGTGTTTTCTCAATCCCCTTCAAAGCATGGATTCTAGGAAGAGAAATTTGTTAAATTCACATTTTTGATATGGCCCTGAACAAATACATTCAACAAAAACTGCTCCTGTCGCTTTAATGAATCAATTGTTCTAATATGATCATCCATGTCCCTTGTAGCTTTTAATTGAAATTCTTGAAACAAAGCCCCTCCCCATTGGCCCAACTATTCTTCTCAGGCAAATTGTATGCTGATGACCGGAAGAAATGTGTCTAATATTGAAAAGTATGCATTATGCTGGAGTCCTAGCTGTAAAACTGTATACAAAGTGGAGCAGGAGGAAATGTGTGGAGCCATCTTTTGTTTGTTAGATGAAATGTGTCTAACAAATTTGCATTTATTTAAAAGTGGCAACACAAACATGAAACTTAAGGAAAGGTTATATGGTTGGACTTGTGACCCGTTATCTGGGAACACATATTGCGTTGATGCAATCAAAAATTTAAAATATACAGTCTTTTTAAATCAGACATTTTTTCAAATCGTTGGAATTATGTAAAATGTGGCTTCTAAGAACTAAAGTATGTACTAAAAATCTCTTCAGTCGTCCACCGCACAGCCTGAGTCCTGGATCTACAGATCCAGAGCAACCTCTTTTGTGATTTAGAGCTGGACATAAATATATTGACATTGATTAAAAGATTTGCAGATGAGACGACATCTCACTTGAAAGTCCAAACATTTTGCATTGCTGCCTAATATTTGGTCCTGTTTTTCCATAGCCTGATGTGGCCTGGTCTAAACTCTTCCCATTTCCTTGTCTTGACTTTTGAAACTTTTAAAGCATCATTTATATTCTGGCCCGCTGTGCACTTCTCCTGCTTTGTGCTGAGTCGTTTTTTTGGTCCAGTTTTCGTCCCTGGATCTGAATGAGACGAGCTGAGGCCAGCAGCCGAACAGCGGACACTCCATCTATCAAACTGATCCCAATGAACAGCCCCCAATGCGAGATGTTTGAACTGGTCTGAACGTGTCAAAGATGGACTGTCTTCATCTTAGGGACCAGGTTAGTACTGTCTGTTATTGTTAAAGCTGGGGTACCTAACATTTAAACCACAAACAATGGAATGGTAATAAAATCGATCTATAGTTTGCCGCTCTCAAAAGTTCTATCACTAGTTGTTTGTAACTGTGAGACCAAAGAGGACCAACCTCACTCAGCCAATCAGCTCTCAGAAAACATTCGATCTTTAACATACTAGTAATAAAAAACATAAAAATACATTGCTTAAAATCCCTTCAATTTAGCAAAATTTCTTTATTATAGAATGTTTTGATTGGATTTTAAGCAGGAAAAAACCTGCTTTAATACAGCGAGCTTTGGTTGTACACATTTATTGAAGCTGGGGTACCTAACGCACAAAAAAACTAACACAATTAGTCTCACTGATTTTACAAAAGCATGTATTTTTATCGCATCTTTTGATCAGCTTTTTCAGACCGAATAGTGAAAAAGAGGACTAGCTTCACTCCAATCAGCTCTCAGCTGAAAGCGTCAAATAGTGACTCACATGGCTCTCTTTCACAAAAGATGTGTTTTTATCAGATGAAGACATCAGGTTGTAGTTTTGATGTAGTCTGCTGCTCTGACCTGGATCAGGGCGAGAGCTGTGTGAATGATCGACTGTCTCCACCTGCGCTGCAAAGAGAAACTAATATTTAATTCATTTTGGATTTGGTTTCAAAATTTAGACAGCTGGATTCCCACACTCACTCCACACTTGGCAAGAAGTGTGAATTTAGATGCTGAATGTGGAATATCAAGAAGGTCATTGTAAATCTGGGGTCCGAGTTGCTTAAGTTCAAACCAGGACCTCCGAGGGTGAAACTCTGCATATGCAAACACGAGGCCATGGTGCTCGACTGGAGAGAGGGAGCAGAGTCTGCAGACAAAGCTCTTGTGTTACTGATTACATCCAGGTTCACTCTCTCCTATGGTCATGAGTTTTGGGAAATGAAACAGGTTGCGGATACAAGGGGTCAGAAGCCGGTCAGAGCAGGAGGAGGACGCTCAAACAGCCAAAACAAGAGCTAAAACAGGACTGAACGGGACTGAACCATAACGGTCAACGGGGGACACAGTGCTTGCGGACATTTGCCTTCACCATGAGTTCATCGTGACTGTGCTGCAGACACGATTGCACCAAGAAGGAAATACCGGCCCTCATCCTGGTGCAGCGCCATGAGCAGATGGTGGTACTTCTGTAAACGGAGGATCTCAAGACCCAGAAGATCAGAGAAGCATGTTTTTAACTTGTCCATGTAAGAGTGTTTTAAACCCTTTCCCCACTGCAACAAAAGATGTTTATTGTGTCCTTGTTTGTATGCTCCCTGCTCCTTGCTCTCGGCTCATGCCGGTTTCTCTCATATTTCAGCTCGCTTTCTGCTGATCACAGACTTCTGTTGCCCTCAGTCTCCGGGAGAGCCATCAATCCACTCCTCCTCTTGGCCAAACAGAGAATGGGGAAAAAATGATTTCAAAACTTCAGACTGTTCACAATAAATATTTCATTTCTTTCTCTTTCGGACTAGCGAGACGTCAATTTACAAAGCAGATAAACTGAAGAGTTTTCTAGGCAGATCCATTTCAATATAAGAGACACATAATGTCACTTTTGTATCAGCAGAAGCGGTCGCAGCAGCAGTAGCAGTTCCAAGCAGCAGTACCAAACAGAAGTGGCTGTTGTATTAGTAAACAGTAGAAAGTAGTAGTAGTCACAGGGTCCAATCACTGCCCACTCA